ACTTTCGTTCAATGAACGCGTTCAGGCACAACACTGCTGGCTGTTGTCATGATTTAATTCTAAGGTCTGACCCCAAGATGCAGAAGACCAAACAGAGAGACCAGGGAAAAGTTTAGACAGGTTTATTTTGTATTGATGTGATGAATCCAGTGCTGCTCTGAGCACTGCTCAACAGAGACTGAAAGATGAGGGGAAGACACTGCGGTTAGTTCAGGCTCAGTGGGAAATTTGAATCTTAGGTTTAGAATTGGAGGAAAGGTTGCAGACTCACTTCTCCAGGGAAAGATGTCCTTTATGGGATCCAGACTGTGAGGATTGAACCAGAGATTGTCTTGTTTGGTGATGGGTGGACTGGGTTACTCAGCGGACGGCGGTTGTTCCTAGGTGAATGGAGAAGCTGCCTACCACTCAGTTTTCCTGCAGTACTTGAACGGGCTGCGGTGCAGATGAAACTTTTGCTCGGCGAGAGGCTCAAACAACCACTTTTTGAGAGTTGATCCAAACTTATTGTTTGGAGTGAATAAAGAGGCTGACTGCCACTCTGATTTCCTGCGGTACTTGAACGGGCTGCGGTGGAGATGAAACCTTTGCTTGGTGTGAAGCTCAAACGACCTCTTGGGGAAAGTGGATCCAAACTTCCTGTTAAAAACCCCAGCTCAGTTAGAAGCTCAGTTGAACCTTCCAGAGAGAGAAGGACCGAACAAATCCAGTTTTGCTGGATGACTTCCTGCCGAGAGGCAAAGACAAAAACAAAGTTAAGACTCAGGTTGACAAAAACTCAGTTTGACTCAGAAAAACTCAGCTTGACTAGAGAATCCAAAACTGGCAAACAAAAACTCAGGTTAGACTCTGCTAAACTAAGCATGGCTAGAGTGCCCTGTGTTGGCAAACACTCTGGCGACGAGTAAGTGGCAGTCAGCAGCTTAAAAACACTCAAAAGGTAATGAGGTGATGAGCTGCAGGTGTGCAGGGAGACCCAATGAGGACGAGGCACCACCTGGTGGAGGAGGAAAGGAAACACAAAAACAGACCACACAAACTGGATTCCTGACAACTGTGCAGTATCGGACGATACCATACCGATACCATCTGTTTGAAATTGATATGTGTGTGTGTGTATGTATGAAGAACTGCATACTAGGATGTAAAATAATTGCCATCATGGCTTTGTCAAGCTGCTGCCTACCTTTGTAAAGCAGGAAAATGACTTATACAAAATGAATCCAGTAGAACTTTATTGCCTACCTGGAATGGGTGACAATAGTTGAAGAAACTTTTGCCTCTCAAAATGGTATCGGTGCCCTATTTGTT